ATATTCTTTTTACTGCTTTGCCACAAAATGCACATACGTTAATATTATTAGTAGTATTTTATTTTCCTTTTTTCTCCTTTTTCTTCCTTCTATTCACGAGTAAGTAATCCATTTACGTTACCTATGAATCATTGGTGGTATGTTAACATATTACATACTAACGTTTCATACGACACCTGAGAAAAAGAATGAGAAAGGAAATCAAAGGTTACGTAAACGTTTATCACAATTTTATTTTTATTTTTAGGGGAGCATAAACGTCCCAATAGAAATACAACAAAATGGCGACTCGAAAGGATCGAGAAAGGACCATTTCGAGATCTCTTTGTTAGCAAGTAAGTTAATATTGAAAATATCTAAATGCTGATAAATATCTTTTTGCTGATATCTCGTTTGATATCTTGTCTGGTAAAAAACTAATTTATTATGAGCCTGCTTTTGTAAATTCTCATAAATATACACACATTTGTGCGTATTTTTTTTCTATTTTTACTTGCGCCAAATGAAACGTTCGGAATTCCGATAAAACTTTGTTTTTGTCGAGTTAAAAGCTATACAAGGCTAGTACTCTCTCGAAAAACCAATAAATACTTTAACTTGTTTACCTTCTCACTTTTGTACTACGTTTACTTCGTGCATTATTCTATGTTTAATATTGCTTTTTTTTTTTTTATCTCGATACTATGTCGCATGTAGTAAGACTAAACTGACACGTTTGAAACGTTTAAATTCTTCATATATCGAGATTCTGATTGTACGTTAATACGATCAATTTAATATGGAACACCTGATTTTCAAAGATTATCAAACGTAAAGACATCCTTTTTTTTAATGAAACTTCCGTTAAAACGTGACCAAATGAAAAAGAACATTTAAGAAATTTCTTTCAAAAATTCAACACAATAATGAATAAGAAGCGTTATTAGCATGACAAGTTTTCATATTATTGTTCCTTGGAATATTTTGCAAGATTTTTCAAAAATCTTTTCGTTTTTGTTTGTGAAATTGTGTAGGATTTTATCTTAAGTTCTGTTTTGTATTAGTTACTTTCGATATGATACATCGATACAATACATCTCATTGTTAGTAACAAAATTAACAGAGGACATGTAAATTTGTGAGAACGCTCTTTTTTCTGAGTGCTAATTTTATTAAATAAAGTATACCAAGAGAACAAATATGAAGGATTTTTTTAACGAGTATGATATTTTTCTAATTATTATATACTTTGAACATCTCGAACGATTTGATTTAACCATAAGATGTTTTTAGGATATTACTGCTACGATTCTTCTTTGAAAAAAACAAAAAGAACCAATTTGACTTGTTTATTTAAGAAAAGCAATGATTAATAATAATATTTATCCTATCATGCCTATATAATTCTCGTACGTGACGATTGGTATTTCAAAGAGTACACCTAGGTGAAAGTTTCCAAGTCAATTTCTTTCTTGACCCATAAGAGAGTGCATCAATGTTTCTGTCTCCGTTACTTCAAGGCCCAAGTCTAAATGCATTCATATGTACATAAATATTAAATAAAGTTTTATACAAAAACGTATGGAAAAGAAGTCATAGAAACTTAATGCGATAGAAAAAAATACGAATTCTATGTAGATATATGTCAAATTGCATGCAAGCATACATTTATCAAGAAATTTATCGATTTTACTTTTCCTATTTGAGAAAAAAAGGATTTATTATGAAGAGTTATTAAAAGCGATATTAGGTACATATAAAATTGACATTATCTATTATTTTGGTGAGCTCGCACATGGTGTTATTTGTTCAGGTACCTATTCCTTATGTATATTTTTGGGTTTCACGATCACGTTTCACGAGCTCTCTCTAATATTCTATAATATAGTCAAATCGACCAGTTCGATATGCATTTCCTTTTTTTTTATAGCAAATATACTCTTTCCGTCTAAGCGTTTAATAAGCGAGTATTTATAAAGAAAAAAGAAATGAGTCGTTAACTATATCGATAATACTTTTTATCGAGATCCTTCTCTCAAAAGTGATGGGATCAATTTTATGATAACTCATAATCAATTTGATAGATTTTCGCGAATACTTGGGCCAAATTAATGTGAGGAGATACAAAATTCTGATGAAATATTAGAAGCTTCGTTTCGTTATGTCAGCAACGTGACGTTGAATTTGCGCAGCTTGCCGTTTTAACGTTAATGACTCTCGTTACAATCTGCTGATTGACCGACTCCGTCGACCTCGTTGTTGCCTTTATCGTGGCTTGCTTTTTTGCTACCATACCATGATAAACTTCCAAAATATAAGATTATGCATAAAAACATATGTAAATACAAGTTAGCTTCGTACAATTTAGCGAACCCTTTTCATGATCGTTATCGATCAAGTCAATTTCAGTTCAAACGAGTTCTTCCAACATTTCTTTTTGAAGTTATTTTCTTTTAGGATAAACTAAAAAAGGCTTATAAATATAAACTAAAAGATACTTTGGTGATTTCTCGTAGGTGGGCCTGTATCTCGGCTGACGCGACTCCTACCGTATACGGAAAACCGGTTCGAAGTCGTTATTAGGGATATCTCGTGTCACAGTGACGTTCTTTCAATTTTCTATTCGAACAACATAACAAATCTGACATTATTTTCGATTATAAATAAACGCGTAAACCTCTTGGACGACTGGGGAACGATGTAGACAATTTTATTTTTCGATTACACTACGTGCTTTGGATATCAAATTCAATAGAAAAGAAAAAACGTAGAGATAGATAAAATAGATATTCAATTTTCTTATCGATTGGAAATACGAGACGCAAGTCCATGATGAGTGACCAAAAATAATATATATATACATGCATAAATATATGTACATGCATATCGTTTGAGTTCATCCTATGTAAAAAATGTGCGATAGATAAATAGCTTGATGGAAGAATTATTTTTCTCGATTTATACTACATTATTCTATATAATAAGTATGCGTGCAGTAATAACGACAACAAATTTTTACCTATAAATCATATAGATGAATTTTTAAATATCCCCAATACGAAATATCATAAACGTAATACGTACATATTCCGTCGAATTTATACGTATTGGATTATAGAGTACAGTAAAGGAAAATATTTATGGCCAATATTACGAGACGATAAACGCGAATTCTGGTATAAACTTGTACACGATTGTGTATTTACCTTTACAAATAAATGAATAAAAAGAAAGAAAGGAAAAAAAAGAAGTAATAATAATCTACGCGCAATAGACGTGTTCGTAGAGAATTGAAATAATTATTTTTACGCATATTTTGTGTATAGGCGTGCCATGTACTCGTATTCTATGTTCGAAACGTGACTTTGCTTGCTAAGAAGATTATTTGAGTGTACACGCAAAAATAAAAAAGAAAAAGGAAACAAATATTGTTAAATATATAGCTGAAATTTCCGTCATTTCGTAAATAATCTCATGCCGTGCATTAACGCGTTGCCTATACGTCGATACAATCTATTACATAATATAAAATGATCAGGCATAAGAATGGATTCAACGACGTTGACCGCAAGACGATTGGCTTCGAACAACGAATCTATACGACGTTGTTTGTATCTACATCGATACTACCAACACGACGACAACGACGAGAAGGAGGAGGAGGAATGCATATGGATGTAGAATCAAATCTCTCTTGATATGAAGTGTGTTGTGTTGTTCGCACGGTGGTAACAGCGCGAGTAGTACAAACTATATGTAGACGTGCATATGTAATAATCCAAGACGTAGGTGGTGGTACGCTGCGTGTCTTTCTTCGTTTCCAACACTCCGCGTCCACGTTCCTCCTCCTATATACAAAGTTGAACTATTCGTTTGACTCTTTTGCCTCACCTTTTCCTTTCCCACCTAAACGCGCTTACTTGCATATATGTTTATATGTATCGTATACAAAACAGCAGCAGTCTCAGGTTGATTGAAAGATACTACCTTGCTTTTTATCTCTTTTCTATATTCGTAATATTATCGAAAATTTTATCTCTAAGTCAATAACTTCAACCTCCTTTAATTTATTTTGCAAAATGAAATCTCTCATATTATTACATTATGTCTGATTAGTAATTAAAATAGGATCTACAGAAGAACCTTTAAGTCGTCCTATATAACACTTTCCTTCCTCTTCCTCTCCTAACTCTTCTCGCTTACTATTTATTCGTTTACGTGTGCATGTCCATATCTCTTTCTCTCCCCTCTTTTCGTACCTCACGCGATCACCTTACACAAACACACACGTAAGCTATTTCTTTCTCTTTTTTATACCGTTTTATCTCTCTCATTTCTGCGTCGCACGATGTTATACGTGGCGTACAGCCAGGATGCGCGCGCATCCATCCTCAACGTGTCGCACGACTCACACGCGTTGTTCGTTCACGAGACTCTACGCAACGTTTCAGAACCAATAATATTTTTCAACGAGAACACGCTATAGAAAAAACATACTGTTTATCCTTTATTTACTTTTACAACATTTTATACATGCAGAAAAGCGCAATATTTAAGATTAATTAATAAAAGAAACTCAGGGATTTTAAAGATTTATATTTATTTATATGTATATCTACAAGTATTTATGATTTGCCTACGTATGTATATATATATGTAAAGAGAGAGAGAGAGAGAGAGAGAGAGAGAGAAAACGATATGAGCAGAATTTTGAGCAAATTTTCCGTGAGTCGTCACGCTGGAATCGTTCAGCTCAATCGTGGCTGGTAGCACGTAGGCCGAACAGTGTATATAAACGATGGCCGGATACTTGTGTGGGTTTCGAATGTTCGAGAAGGTCAGTGGTTATCAACCGGTGGCGCGTCCCTAATCTAGATGTGTATCACTCACGTAAGATGCAAAGCGAGGAAGAAATGTTTGTATCGAAGTTCGTCGATATACATATGTCATATGAAAAATAATGAAAGTATTAAATAGATATATTATCGGCAGAGAAAAGAAAAAGAGAGAGAGAGAGAGAGAGAAAGAGAGAAAGAAAGAATCATTGTAGGTGATCGTGCCAAAAATAGAGGAGGAAAGGTTTGCCATTTATCATTTCAGGGATGAGTCAGATGGATAAGAAATGACAACGATCGAGTAGGAGTGAAAGAATCGAGGAAAACACGTGGTGGTAGTAACGGAGAGAGTCTCTTGCATCATGTTCGTATAATATTGTGGTTTAATACGGCGCTAAGAAGATAAGGAATAGGGAGGAGAGAAGCAGTTAGCAAGGCGGGCAGGAAGGAAGGCAGCCGACGGCTGAGAGCCACGTTGCCTATGCGATTACGTGTGTCGGATTGGTAGTAGTGTAGCAGTGTAGAGTGGGATAAGTATTCGGAGCGGGCGTCGACGAGGTCTCCTGATTCGCCTTTTCTAGTGGTGGGAGTGTAGGGGGGTGTTAGTAAGCGCTGCAGCCATCTTGTTGAACTCAGTCGGAAACCAACTGCCGAGCAGTGAGGGACGGTGAACGAGAAGACCAGATGTGTTAGCCGAAGGATTTTTAATGCGCTTCCGAGCCCTATTACCGCTACGTGCGAGAGGCTGTGCGATAGCGACGAAGGAGCGACTATCATCGCGGGATTTTCACGTTCGGAAAGCCCCATTACGTCCGATTAAAAACCTTCTGAGGATTGGTCAAGGGGTGTAGCAGCAGCAGCAGCGCAGTAGTAGGAGAAAATAGAGCGTTTTGGTTTTGAAAGAGTTCTCGGCGAAAGAGGGTTATACATTGTAAGGTAACCTTCTCGTCGTCAACATTGAAGAACTAAAGAGAGAGAGAGAGAGAGAGAGAGAGAGAGAGAGAGAGGGAGAGGGAGAGAAGCTTAGCTTGCTTAGTCGTTGATCATTTGATTTAGAGAAGAGATAAAAGAGAAATTTTGAGAGATAGCGAGAGATAGCGAGAAAGAGCGAGTTCAGTGTCAAAGTCTGTGATAGTATTTATTCAAAGGATTTCGAATATACATTTATCAACAGCGACAGCGTAACATCATCGGTCAACGGTATATCAATTGCGCGCGCGCGTCGAATCCAAGCGAAGGATTTAGATAGGCTTTATATATTTATTTATATCTGTGATATTTACACTGATATACAATTCGATCTATTAACTCTGACGACGCATTCTCTTTTGATGAAGACAAGTGGGAAAGGATATCATAGGTATCGTAAGACGTCGCGCGTTAACACGCACGAAGAAAAAGAAGAAGAAGAGATTTTCACACGATATTTCATTTAAGGGATCGTCGTAGGGAGAAAAAAGAGAGATTATATCAGTATCTTAGCAGATAGGCGTTTTTTGTATATACGACTGACTCTTTTTTACGATTATTAATACTGGTGCGAAATCGCCAAAAGAGAGAAAGAGGAGCAGAAAGAAGTAAAAGTAGTAGAAGAAGAAAAAGAAGAGGAGGAAGAGGAAGAGACAAAAGTCAGAAATTGAATTTTCCTTGCGCCGAACGAAAGTACACGTACGTGAGCGAAAATGGTGGAGAGAATTGTCGAAGAACGCAGGAGCAGCTTTCAAGGGAATCGTCAAGGTAAGAATACCAAAATCAATTTATATGAATTTCTTCTGCAGAAACACCTACTACCAACGTGTATGTACATTTAGTTTAAATTTCATAGAAAAACCATTTTTTTAACTCGCCAAACTGTTGCAAGTGATTATTATTTGTACTGTTTTCTTTCAATTTTCTAATCTCCAAATAAATTTCAATTGCTATTTGGTAAATGACGTTTTCATTTTCTTTATTTACCATAAAGTATCAAATAGAAAGTTCATACAAATTTCTGTTGGTATCGAAAATACACAAAAATTCAGTTACAAGTAAGATATATCAATTAACTTAAATATTTTTTGTCGTTTTTTTCTTACATTCATGATGGATCTTTCTCGAATGATGTAATGACTTGTTCACCGAATTTTTCTAACATATTTATCATCTTCTGATATTCCTCTACGACGAATTGCATCATGTCGAAAAAACGTAGAACAATTATCGATATCGAATTTCGACAAGAGTAACAAAGAGAGAGAGAATACCGTTAAAAAAGTAAGAATCGGGGACGTGTGTTAGCACTCGAGGAACTTTCTTGATGCCGGTACCGGTTATAAAATGCTGCAGTTGTTGGTTAGTCTCTTCCTTCGCATATACCACTTATCCTTCTTGAATTTTCTTCAAACTAACTCTACGAATTGAATGAATTTAACAATTTTATTTGTACTCTCTTTTAACTTATAACCGAGCGAAAAATTGCATTAATAATCAATCTATCTATATAAATCTAAATTATTTCAAATAAACTGAGCGAGAGAGAGAGAGAGAGAGAGAGAGAGAGAGAGAGAGAGAGAGAGAGATCTGAACTATTAATTAATTTTATTTTCCTTCTTTTATAAGTTACCATCGAAAAATGATTAAATAATATTTGATTCATTCATTTGTGTGTGTTCAAAAATTCTAATACTCTATATTGATTAATATTTAACTTAAATTTCAAATAAATAATGAAGCTTAACGACATTAGCAAATGAAAGGAAATTTGGATACCCATTTGAATAAAAATTAATATCCGTTTCATAGAGAGAGAGAGAGATAATTGATTTTTGGCTAATACGCGGCTGTTTTGGTACTAATTTAAAAAATATATACGTATATATATAGTACTCGTCCTGTCTGCATAATATTTAGCTATGTAGAATATTTGAATGATTCATTTGGAGATCGTTCTCTCTCTCTCCCTCTCGCGTGAGGTTACGCATATACGCACCCTATTATGAGACGCACATGTCTCGTTTCATCTCGTATCTTTTTGGCATTATATGATAGAGAAATTATTTTCGAGTAACGAAGTGGGTTAGTCGGTATGTTCGAATTCAACGACGCAAATCCTGAAGGGCGTCGGTAGGGCAAACCCAAACAAAGAAGAAAGGGAGGAAGGACCCTCGCGCATGTTCCGCTTTCGCTCTCCTTCCCATTCCTCCCCTTTTTACTCCTGTTAAAGGGAAGCAACCATTTCGAAGGACGCGCGAAAGGTTGCTTTTGCGTTTAGTTTCAACGACGAATGAAATAACTCCGATTGATCCATTTATTTATTTTTTTCTATTTCATTATTTTCTTCGCGTATCATCTTACTTTGACAAATATAAACGATGACATAGCGAACTTTTCCTATTCACAAGTACAGAGATTAATAAAGTTGGCAATATGATCCTATTTCTATTAGAAAGTTGGCGAGACGCAAAGCTTTAGCATAAATTTTATTTTCTCGTGCAAGAATAATACATTTTAAAGGATATTTTTTAGGAACTTGTCGCCAAAACTTAACTTAACGGGGTCAACAGTAACATCAATTATTATTATACATCTTACTATACAAGTAGTTTTGAGATTTACCAAAGTCAATACGAGTATTAATTATTAATGTAAATTCATTTGTTTTCTCGTATTCGAAGGATTTTTTATTTTGCCGCCAAGAAATATTTTGGAAAATTTTCAGTCAAATCTTTTGTTAGCAATAAATATATTTTGTAAAGATCCCGAACAATGAATGAATTTCGTGTCGTTATTATTATGATTACTATCATCCACATGTAAGGTTTTCAAAGGATAACGAATGTGAGTCATAGTTCGATCGCGGAATATTATTTGAAAGCGAACAAAGGAAACCAGAGAAAGGACGAATTTAATAAAATCGATGTGTTTCGGTTCCGATATAGCTTTCTCTCTCTCTTTCTCTCGCTATAATTACGTGTACCATCATCTCACGAATATTACTCGACGTTTAAAAAAAATCAGATTTTTAATAGATTTTATATTTCGAAAAGCATAACGTTTCTATTTGGATAGTTAGTTGAAATGTTGGTCGAGTGAGCAGTAGTAATGGAACATCACCATACCTTCCATCCAAATTACTTTGATATTATCGTATTCGTCGAACGTATAGTGATCGCTCTACCCGATTACGTAATTCCCTTAGGGGTGGACGTTAGGGCGATTTAAGCCCGAGGAAGCCGAGCGCGAGCTCGCCGTTATCCTGCACCAGTGGTACTCAACTTGTAATCATTTTTTCTTACCTTTTTTTTATATAACGTAATAAAGGATGACTCAATTCGATATAAAAATGATCAATTATATCTCATTTTGTTGGATGGTAATAATTAGAGTTCCATAGAGGGAGAGAATGTATTATTACAATTAGGATAGAATGCTAACACAGTGTTAGGTATATCATATCTCACGAGAGAACCGAACAAGAGAGAAAGAGTGATGGCAGCGTTCCTTTCTGTGCCAGTCATTGAACTCTGGCTCCGGTCGTTGCATGACGACGACGACGACGACGACGACGACGACGACGACGACGACGACGACGACGACGACAACGACGATGATGACGACGACAACGCTCACGAATAACGTACAAAAATACATTTTTTATCAACCGCAATTATTATTGTACCAACAGGAAATCAAATATATCAATTAAATGTTCAAAATATCTTACGTGGAAGTTTCCTTTCTCCTTTCATGAACTTAATCGATTTCCTTGAGTCTCCTTTAGTCATTTCTGCTTATTAGAGGCTCTCAACTTTGCGTATCTTTGTAACTCTTTTTCAGACACCTGCACAAAATTAACAAGATTATAGTATTTATTTATTTATTCGTTTATGTAAATGTATTATATTATGTACTAAGGGTTCTGAATTTCGCGTTTCTTATCTCTTCCAAACACTTGCTTGAACACTTGCATTTAGAAAGAATAAGTGTTATTTATCGGTAAATTGTCTTTCTTTTTTCGCGAAAATGACATGTTAATAATCTTCCTTTCATAGCATACAGAATAAACGATTGATTGGTGTTCAAGGTTAATGCATTCTCGTTTGTGAACAGACTCGTGGTATCGAGTATAACGAAAGAGTTAAAGAGTTATTTCGGTGTACGCAAAATATGATTAGCTTTTGGATTTTTCAATAAGATGATATATTATCCTTTCCTTTTTTCCTTACCTTCTGAACTAATTGTAAGAAAATGTTTTCTAAGGATGTATAAATGTAGAACACATAATTAATGTATCAGTAGTAATAAATTGCTTTGGTCTAACTTAAGTTTCAAATGGACCTGGAAGAGTCACAATGCTCCCGAAATATGTCTCTAATTATTTTTGATTGAAAAGAGAACTCGAGAGAGAGAGATTAGAGAGATCTACTTTATTTTTTGTTATTTTTACATAGGAACGGAACGATCGAGTTTCGAGCCGAATTAAATTCAACAGATATCTCGTCGAGAGCAACGAATTCTATTTCTCTCTCGAAAGAGGGGTGGAGGGAGCAAAATATTCGGGAAGTTTCGAAAAGGATGTAAATTATTTACATTTTCATTCTCCTCTCGTCCCTTGTAGCAGCTACTGCGTAACTGCTATTGGAAATTGTAGCATCCCTCGTTCTGACTGACGAAACTTTTGATGGGTCCCCGTAACCGACCTTTCCTCCCCTTCTTTTTCTCTTTATTTTCTTTGATTTTGTTTTCTTTAATGAACGAGTACTAGTTTTATACTTTTTTCCTCGATATCTTTTCTCTGTTCCTTTTTGTAAAGAAAATACAAGTTTTGGCGTTCATCAGATATACGATTATTTAAAACAATGAGTAAAAGGAAAGTAGAATACGCGAATATATATTTATGTATATGTGCGGTGCAATATGTGCATACATTAAACGTACATTATGATGAAACTTTGTAATCTCGTGACGAAGAGAAGAATTCCCGAGAGCGATTGCGATAAGGAAACGTGAATTCTAGAGTAGTATCACGTGCACGACTAATTGTAAGTAAGTTCGCTCGATAGTGATAAAGGATGTACTTCAACTTGGATATTATCGCCGTGGTAAATAAACGCGACGTTATTCGTACTTGCAATAACGTTTTCTTCTAAAAAGATCTTCCACAGGATCTCATATTCGCACTAGACGGAAGCTCTAACTTGGTCCAACGACAAAACTGTGGCGGCCATTTGTCGCGCTTTTTAAAGACGATCTATTGTAAAAGTTTGAAGATCAGGTTGAACAAATAAGCGAGACCTTGCTCTCGTTGCAAATTGTTTTTTGGCAAAATGAAAAATGAATTAAATCTAATCGAAAGTCTTTTTATATTTTGTTTATTTCTTATTGTTTTAGGCGATGGAACTTGCAGAGACGTCGTTACGACGGGAGAATCGATGAGTGCTGTACAAGCGCGTCAGGAAGAGGCAAGACGCAAAAGACGCAGGAAGAAACGCTCTGGATCCTCCTTTGTTTCCACTTGTTTTCAAGGTAGATATTTTTTGGTGCAACCAAAAATCCAAAAATACAGTCAAAAATTAGCCAAAAATACCAAATGTTATTATGTACGCAACGTTCCGATTTTGTTATAATGGTATGACTAATGCAAAAGAGATATCTTTTATCATATATTTATTATCACCAAATAGAACTATTCTATTTCGATGACTTACCTGTTTTCTCTTACTTTCTTTCTTTCTTTCCATTCTATGACCTTTCTCAAGTTCGGAATGTTCGAGAAACTTACACGAACTTCTAACTCGATTATCGATTTACGTGTATACACAAGTATATTTACATGCACACTTAGCTCTCACTGTTCTCTTGTTTGTAAATAATTTCGAACATTCGTCTATTATGAGAACAGAAAAAAAAGAAGATTTTTAAAATTACAAATAGTTATAAAACGAAAAACAATAAATAAATATATCTAACATAAGTATAATATAATCAAATAAATTAGAAACATATAGTTGTGCAATATGAAGATTAAATCGATGTTAGAGTTCTTAACAATTAATAGTTATACTTGGTAACTATTGATTAGATTAGATTGAAAATTAATTGCAAGTACTTTTTTTTTTTTAACTCTTACATTGTATTTCTAACATATGATAATAATTATTATCTATCGTTGAGTTGTCCAATAAATTTGTGCCGATTTAAGGATGGGTAAAAAAGTTTTGTGCACATTTTATTTGAAACATTTCGATACTTTGTTGTAAAATAAAAATAAGTTCGACCAAGAAGAAAATTGTTACTATTTTAGGCTAAAATATATTTAAACAATTCCGAGTAATTTTCTAATCAAATTATATTTCGCTGTAAGACTTAAATTTTCGACAAGAGAGAGAGAGAGAGAGAGAGAGAGAGAGAGAGAGAGAGAGAGAGAGAGAGAGAGAGAGCCAACACTAACCGAGTTTGCTACCTTGCTGAGCTAGGTCATGTTGCGTCATCTCCGATCGATTTGCGATCCCATAAGCGAAAACTTTCCATCACGTGGAGAGGAGAGAGAGAGAGAGAGAGAGAGAGAGAGAGAGAGAGAGAGAGAGAGAGAGAGCCAACACTAACCGAGTTTGCTACCTTGCTGAGCTAGGTCATGTTGCGTCATCTCCGATCGATTTGCGATCCCATAAGCGAAAACTTTCCATCACGTGGAGAGGAGAGAGAGAGAGAGAGAGAGAGAGAGAGAGAGAGAGAGAGAGAGAGAGAGAGCCAACACTAACCGAGTTTGCTACCTTGCTGAGCTAGGTCATGTTGCGTCATCTCCGATCGATTTGCGATCCCATAAGCGAAAACTTTCCATCACGTGGAGAGGAGAGAGAGAGAGAGAGAGAGAGAGAGAGAGAGAGAGAGAGAGAGAGAGAGAGCCAACACTAACCGAGTTTGCTACCTTGCTGAGCTAGGTCATGTTGCGTCATCTCCGATCGATTTGCGATCCCATAAGCGAAAACTTTCCATCACGTGGAGAGGAGAAACATTCGCGTAACCCTTTAGGTCACTCACAAGTATACATATAGAAATAAAAAATCGTTGAGAAAAGAAAAATATATAAATAGCATTATACGCGTTTAACGTTAGTAATATTTATTCATATTTTTTAATAGTTTTCGATCGTTTTTGATCTCGCGTTGTTTAGCTTGCCTTATTTCAAGATCATCGATCGATGCATATGCGTTCGCATACGTGTATATGTTATTATTCGTTTTACTTCTTGGAGGAGGGGAGGAAGGATTTAAAGTATGTAACTGGTTTTGACGATCTACGTAGAACGTGAAAGCACATTATCGGCTTCTGGTTGCTAGGTGCCTACGGTGTTGCCGGATGCTCTCGTGTAATCTGCCGTGTTGTACCAACAGGAGTGGCTGCCTTTCAAGAGTAAGAGAGAGAAATACGACAACGGCGTACGAGTTGTCACGAGGAAAAGGGTTGATGGGGGGAAGGCTTTGTCGGGTTTAGTTGGAGAACGTTGGTGGGGATGAACGATGTGGGGTTACGGGAAGCAGAATGGTAGGCCGATAGCTTGTTAGAGAAGGGAAGAGACGAATGGTATATACGCGTAATACGATTGTGCAACGTTGCCATGATGGTACGTTGTTCGCGAATCAACCCCTTTTGACCTTGACATTGGCTTCTCCTACAACGCAGGACACACACCGATTCATCATATTTCACTATATATCGACTCTTCTCCTGGCGTACAGCACCACAACCACACATTTTCTCAAATTCTAATGAATCGATGCTAATAATTAATCGTATTTAATAAGATTCACCTTAGACATGCGGGGGTAACACAACTGCAATGCAAAACTTCAATGGATTTATGGCGTTTTGATTAGAGATATGCACCACACGTGCTAATACCAATTGGTAGAAAGAAAGAAAGAAAGAAAGAGAGATGGTCACTAAAATGGTTAAGACAATGGTATAGATCGGAGTTGGAATGATCTCTTGAGTAATGTTCGGTAGGTAGGTGAATAAAGACAAGAAATTGTTTGATTTCATTAGAATGAAAAAGAAATGTCTTCTGTTGTATTCGTTTGCTCTCTTTCTATAATTAGTTTATTTGATTAATAATTTGTATTTCATCGTGTTTCAGATTTGTACAAATTGACAGGAGAAGTTCTTGGAGAAGGAGCCTATGCCTCGGTACAATCGTGTACGTCTCTGTATACAGATTTGGAATATGCCGTAAAGATCATCGATAAGATTCCTGGACATGCGCGTGCTAGAGTTTTCAAGGAAGTCGAGACATTCCACCATTGCCAGGGGCATCCTAATATTATACAGTTAATCGAGTTTTTCGAAGATGAAGAAAAGTTCTATCTCGTTTTTGAAAAAATCAATGGTGGTCAACTGTTGAATAGGATTCAAGAGAGAGTGCATTTCAGCGAGAGAGAAGCAAGTCAAATCGTTAGAGAGATTGCCAGTGCATTAAATTTCCTTCACAAAAAGGGTAAGATCTTGAAATTTGTATGAGCAATCGATCGATGAACAATCGATTTGTTTATTTATACAAATGTATAAATATATTTTGTTTTTGTGTTTATATACAGGAATTGCGCATAGGGATTTAAAACCCGAAAACATTTTGTGCGTTTATCCGGACAAATTAATACCGATTAAAGTATGCGATTTTGACTTGGGTTCTGGTATAAAGTTCAACAACTCACTCTCCAGTCCCGTAGCTACGCCACAATTATTGACACCGGTTGGAAGCGCAGAATTCATGGCTCCGGAAGTAGTCGAGGCTTTTATCGGCGAAACCAATTATTACGATAAACGTTGCGACTTATGGAGTCTTGGGGTGATAATGTATATTTTATTATGCGGCTATCCACCATTCTATGGTAACTGTGGTACAGATTGCGGCTGGCAGAGAGGAGAAAATTGTCAAGCTTGTCAGGAGTTATTATTTACCAGTATTCAAGAAGGGAGGTATGAATTTCCTGACAAAGAATGGAGACATATATCTGAGGACGCCAAGGATTTAATTAGAGGCTTGCTAGTAAAGGAGGCTCACCAAAGGCTCAGCGCAGAATGCATTCTTAAACATCCTTGGATTAATCCTGGGCCATCGTCGGTTGATAATAGCGAACAATCTCTTATCACGCCTCATATCATTAGGTAACGTATTATTTTCTTAATATATCTACATTGCTCAATGAATGAATCATGTTATAGAAGAAGAATCGAGTGCATTATTTTACTTTTAACACACGGTCCCTACTAAGTTGATTTTTCGACATTACAAATAACGACAAATAATTTTTCTGTTTTTCACATATATATATATGAGATGAATTTGATTCATATGCGACAAAGAACTTGTTAAGTCAAATTAATAATAAATTAGTTTTAACACGCGTACAATTATCTAATTACAGAAGAAATAATTCTGCTCGAGAGCTCTCAGCATTTGCTGAGTCGGCAATGGCTGTGAATCGCGTGGTACTTCAACACTTTTCCATTAACTTGGAGGAGTTGACGGAGAACAGGGAGCCAAGACTGTCTACGTCATCAACGGATGATGACAATCATCCTTACGGTCACATGTCCGACTCCAACAGTGAATTGTCGGAGAACAGCAGTAACAAACACGCAACTCATTCTTCCAGCGAATTCGACAATAGTTCGCGTCAAAAATCTGGCTCAATTAATTCCAGCATCGATTTAAACGAATCTAAAATAATCGGTAAGGATCGAATAATAGGTAAAGATTCGTTTCAAATTTTTGGTCTCTCACCGCCTAGCGAGAGTAAATTAATGCAACGTCGTATTAAAGCACGTTCGAGTTTGATCGAATGTCAAAATAACAATCCTGTTATCGCGTCTCCAAGTGGCTGAAATTTCACGATTTTAATAAGAAGTGTAAGAAAGAAAGAAAGAAATAATACCGATCTCTCCTTCTTAGAGTATAATTCGTCTTTGCTACTACTTTCCCTTTCTGGAATCGCAAAGGTGTAATATACTTTTAACAAACGGCTTAAAAAGAGTTACGATTTATTAGTGTATATAAGCAATTCCTTCATTCGATTTAGAATGAAATTGGCTTGTATAAACAAACAAAAAAAAACAAAAACAAAATATGATTAAAAAGAACAAAACAAAACGAAAAAAAATTATATATATATATTAATATTAATAATAATTATACTACGCGCTATACAACAGGACAATGACGGCGATCTAAAGGAATCTACGATGAATACAAATATTTCATATTATAGTTTTTCTGTATTTAAGCGAATACGAAACACGACAATTCAGTTCATTGTTGCCCTTGTTTCTTCTTATTACCTTGTGATTTATATTTTTATTTTCTTTTGCCCCTCTTAATAAGAATATTTTTTGTTTAATTTAAGCTGTCAACGTCTCTCTCTACGCGTGATAATTCTATCTTCATGTAGGCGGTATAGTAGTATCTTATATTATGCAAGAGACAACATTTTTCGCGGTGTCATAGACGAAAATACATCGATGTGGATGAAAAGGTTGACCTTTTTTTCTAACATCGAGACGATAATAGTCTCTTACAAAAAATAAGATTTCTACGTTGGATACATTCCAACTCGTGTATTATACTGTGTTACAATTCACCATTACTCATTCAATCATCCAAGTTGTAAACTTTTGTAAAATATTATGTCCCAAATCATCGATCTTTATTAGAAAAAAAAAAAATAAGTAAATAAATAAGAAATTAATAATTATACTACGAGTTGGAAGGTTTATCTCTACGTACTGTACATGATGCATGCTTGTATATAACATTAAAGGAGAAAAACGAAAAAAAAGAAAAGATATATAACACTATCACTCGTAGCATGCAACAATTAAAAAAAATCATATACATATATAACAAGAGTGAGAGGGGGGGGAGAGAGGGAGAGAGAGAGAGAGAGAGAGAGAGAGAGAGAAAGAGAGAGAGAGAGAGAGAAAAGATTTTAAAAATTTATTTTTATTTATTTCAATTCACATTATTCTTCTTTAAGGGAACTACTTTAATGTGAATCATTAACAATAAACAACAAACATCATTCGGATTTGTAATGATGTGACCGATTAAATAACAGTTTCTCATAGTAGTTTGTGTAAAACTTCTTATCGGATCTGTAAGACAATGTCTTCTGGCCTTTTTTACTAATTATTATAATAATAATGATAATGCGTAAGAATGCATATGTTATAGGAATTTGTATATCATACAAAGAAAAGAAAAAAGAAAACGAGACATCGTACTCTTTAATGCTGTTACATTCGAATTTTACAAAATACGAATCTTTTCAGTTCTTTATTTTTTGATTGAATCTGTCGATAATAAAATAAAATAAAAATATAAATTGTATCTACATATAAATATAAACACATAAAGGAGAGGGCAATAAAAGAAAAGATTATGAAGGTTTTCTTCCATTATAATAATGACTGCTGAATTTGAACACGATTTAAAGAATAGAAAAGTTTTTGTCTCGTTTACATGAAGTAACAACAATACATAACAAAAAAAAAATATATATATATATATATATATATACACTGGTGCGCATCCTTGTAAATTATTATTGTCTTATGGTTTGCTCTCGTTTAAGGATTACTAAAAGGACGCTAGATCAGAAGTTTGTAAGAAAGTTTAGAAACAAGGTCCAAGAAAAGAATTGGAGAGTGAGAGTGAGAGAGAGAGTGAGAGTGAGAGTGAGAGTGAGAGTGAGAGTGAGAGTGAGAGCGAGAGCGAGAGCGAGAGTGAGAGAGAGAAAGAGAGAGGGAGAGGGAGAGGGAGAGGGAAACAAAGCTTAAAAAATAAAAAATAAAAAAGGTAACAAAAAAATACAAGGCGGGAAGGAAGATCGAACGAATGCCATTTTTATAGGTGTTTTAAGTATAATTGTAGAAGAAAAAAAACAATCTTAGTTTGTAAGAAACAAATTCACTTTCAGTAATTAAAATAAAAAAACACGAAAAAAAAAAATAAAAAATACAATAAAATAAATAAATAAATAAAATAAGAAAAGAAAAAAAGAGAAAAACTTAACAAAAATTTATACCTGTGTCATAAGTAAGTAATAATACGACGTACACTGATGCCAAATCCCAAAAACATATGTGAAATCCAAAAAACAGTTAGTTTTTTGGAACTTTTATCCTGTGGAATACGTTTAGTGGATCCTGCAGCATCTTTACCAACCATCTGTTATGGATAAGTGCTTATGCACATCTATAAATGATAAATAATTGAAARGTGAGCATTTTATGACTCGCTTTGCTTCGAAAATTACGGTCTCTTTAAACGCGTATAGTGCAGTTCATATTTGTCCAATTTCAACAAATAAATATGGAATCTTATTTTCGCTTGACAGTAAGTACATATTTCACAATAAATCTCTTTGAAGGAGAAAATTGTTGAAACAAAGCTTCATATTGTTCATCCCAAGAAAATGAAACTTTTATCATTTGAACCCATGCTTTAATAAACAATACAAAAAATTGAATTTAGTATACCGATTAATTTTCCTATTTTTAATTTTCTTCGAGAAATGATTGGAAATTTTATATCAGGTAACTAATATTAAGTTAGATTTTATTTTCGATCGAATCTACAATTTATATGACCTTCTCTGAATGTTGCGCATGTGTATGAGGAACCTAATTACTAAAATTAAAGATAATAACGTTTTGATTTTAGTATTTTACCTTCGAATTCGTGCGAAATCGCAGTAATACTTTAAACAGAAAGAATGTGTTGGAACAAAAACACTGGTAGGCGGATTATTACGAAGTGACGGTTGAACAAAGTAACGGTTTGACGCCGATACATTTGCTTGTCTACTATTTTTCCTTATCTCTTTCCTAGAAATCCAGAAAATGCGACAGAAATAGCTTCCTTTTAAACCCTCTTCTTTCGATCTGCTAAAATCTTGTCTGTGTGTTGTGCGTGCGTGTTTCAGATAAAGAAAATATATTTTTCTAAACACGTTTTTTAATCTTAAATTTTAATATTTAGGTGCATTACTCCCTTTATACACATGCGCCACGTTCGAAACTCATAAAAACAAAATTTAGTAAAAATGTACTTTAACTTAATATAAGAGTCACTAAAATCCGCTCACTCTTAGTATACAAAATATTTACCGAAACTTTGCAAAGAAAAAGCAAAGCTGTAAAATAAAATGCATTCCATTATCTGACATCTCCTAAACTTCACATGCTAAATTTATAGCTCGACGAAGTATTCTGCGCGTAGAAAAAAGAGTGTACTTTAAATTCATATAAGTTTCATTAAAATCTATTCACTTTTAGTATAAAAAATATAAACGTGAGACTTTTTACTTGCTAAAGTATTCTAAGGGTAGGGCAAAGTTTGTACTATAGTTTAAAATAAATTTTATTAAAATTTGACCACTGTAAGTATAAAAAATATTGACGAGAACGTTCCAAAAATATGAGAGCAATGTGTGAAAGATACATCCTTTGCAGCATTTCATTTTATGGGATTTTAAGTATTTAAAACGCAAGACTACTAGCCGAAAAAAGTATTGTACGTGTAGGGCAAAGAGTGTACTATTATTTAGTATAATGTTTTTTAAAATTAGTTCACTCTAAGTATAATATATTGACGAGAACGTTCCAAAGATATGACAGCTATGTGTAAAATATATGTATTTGCTGCATTTCATTTTCTGGGATTTTAAGTATTTAAAACGCGAGACTTTCAGCTTGAAAAGGTATTTATTGTTCGTGTTAGGCGAAGTGTGTACCCTAATTTAATATAAAAATCATTAAGATTGAACGGCTATAAGTTTTAAAAATTTTTTTCGCAAACTACTTATTAAAATAAATTTCTTTATGGTCCTGCGTGAAGTATGTCCGATTGGAAAGTTACTTAAACAAGAAACGACATTACTGTTTTTGGATATTTTGTGAACCTTTGAAGATTGATTTATTACTAGATATAGTATTCTTTCCGTAGGAATAAGAGTTTAATTTTATTTAATATGTAGGTCATTCATATCTTTTTACCTTAAATATAGGAAA